ATTAAAGAGTTACAGGTAACTGGAACGAGCTCAAACTAGTTCACAATCATAGCATCACTTCTAAGCAATCAACTCCCATAAATACCCTTAATTATGTGTCCAATCTGAATGAAGACAGACCATAGGCTACTTTAAATTAATATTTGATTATAACTGATAATCGACCACATCAACAATAATTACCAGAAACCTTAACCGTGCAAATGAAAGCCCCAGACAAACACAGACAGAAAAGAACCATTGGATTTTCATAGATACGCAACTTGCACAAACTTCAATCTGTGTGATGCACAAAAACTTAAGATAACTCTTATACTAAAGATGCATTATCTCATTTATGAGAACTTAACGACTTTAAATAGAAAATTTGGGTTCTGAAACATTACTACATTGCACAAGGACATCTTTAAAAATTTGGAGTTTCACAGCTAATGCGCAAGGTAACATGATAAAAAGGTAAGAAAATTAATTATTTTGTTTAGAGTGTTAGAAAATTGTACAATGGTGATCAATGTAGAACAACACAGACCAAAAATCTGGACACAGGTAAAACATAAGAAAACTTAGACCCCACCTTCCCCTGGAAGTGTTTACTTTTCCATTTCCTACTTATATTTAGGCCACAAATTCTACATTATATAAGAACTTTTATTTATTATCATTAGTACTTTGTCTTGAAAGCACACAATGCTAACCAGATAAAATTAGCATCTGCCAGCCAATTTTACTATCCCAAGATTTCTTATTTGTTCATTTCATAACTGAATTCATAAAGAGGCAATGCTGAATTTGTTCTACTACTAATAAGAGTGTAAAAAGTGAATCTCAATTATACCATGGGGAGACTTATAAATGCAGAAGTCTTGATGCATGTATCATGCAATATATATATTCTTTTCTCTTATTTAAGATGGTCATAAGTGGAAGCAAGAAGATCATGAAGCCTTACCTTGAAGATAAAGGGCTCAACATCCTTCACAACTACTTTATCTATGCTACAATCCCCGACAAGTCCAAAAAACTGTGCTCTAAATACAGGAGAACGGGCAGCAAGTATCAACTTGTGAGCTTTAAACAATTCATCGCCAACCTGAAAAACTATGTCACAACCAGCTTCAGAGTCTAGAAAGTCCTTAAGATCTCGACCCATGTCTGATGATGGTACAGTAATTGAAAATTGTTTTGGTCGCTCAAGGCGAGTTCTGACAACTCCAACAGTGCAGTTCAATACAAGGCAATCATCCCTTAGAAACTCAGAAGTTTCGAGGGCTGATCTTTTGAAAAATCTCTTGTAACCCCTGAAATGTACCCAGAGAAGTAAAATATGATGATGGAAACAGTGCAGAAGCTTCCAACTTGAAAAAACTCCCAATACATGAAAATAAATAAGCTTATCCAAAAACTAGGAAATAGGTTACAGAGACTGCAGCCAATCTATAAAGAAATCTGATAAACTTATTAAATGCAACATGACATGCAAACCTAATTGTTCTATTGTAATTAAACCAACCAAATACTAGTTCTTTTTTATTATATCAGTGTTACCATATACATGCATGTAAATATGTGATGCCCCACGGTCATAATTTTCCACATTAAAATGGTACGACCCCAATACTTAACATAACACACCATAAAAGCACTCCATGATGATATATAAGCAAAAGGATTGAAAAGGTAAGTTATTTAGTCGGCTCCCTAACCACACCTAGGCAACCAAAATAGAGGGAGAGGGGAGAGGAGAGAGGGGAGAGGGGAGAGGGGAGAGAGGGACATCTTCAACATTTGAATATCTACATGTAGGTTCGGTTGTTAGTTATTTCTCCAATATTTATCTTCACCTTTTCAAGTTTTCCATTCATTAGCCAATGATATCCCTATATAAATAATCTTTTATATGATCAGTATTCACCAGACAGAATGTCTTACAATCATCATCTTCTCTAGGTCATGTTGCACATTTTTAGGGAGATAAAATCCTAACTAATCAATTTTTGTTCTTTTGCTGATTTAATTTTCTAAGTGGTTTATTGGATTAATATTTAATTCATATTATGTTTTACTAATAATGAATGTGAAAGAAAACTGATGTAGAATGGTTCATCTCAAGATTTGCATGGAAATTCACATTGAAGATCAGTCTAAATATTGATATAATTGAAAAAAGTAATATCAATTTGAAAATTATTGTTATTTTTATGTATAATACATATGTTTTTTTTCTTTTTATTCAAAGCGAGTCTAAGCCTGGAGATATGTCGACCTATGTTCCAGAAGTGCTCTAACCTTTAAGCCATAATCCCCTAAAATATGTTCACATGTGTGCGTTTCTGTATATGTAATATATACCAAGTAATCAGCACTCCATAATTCACAAGCAAGTCACATATTGGAACATGGATATTAGGAAGATCCACAATCAACCAATATAACAATTAGCATGCCATTGTAGCGTGCAATACATAATTCGGCACAGACACACACTAAGAAAACACAATTACCAAATTGCTTACCAAGCTGCTAAATCAACATTCCACCACAACATACCACATTAAAACCGATCCCTAAACCAAAATTCACCAAAAGGTACTCAATTTAATCATCAAAATCGAAACTTAAGGCACCGAAACCCACCAATTAACCTAGAAACACATACCACATGCTGCCTCTGTACTTCAACGTGTACGGCCCGCTCTCGAGCGCGCGATCAAAGTGGCTATGCACCTTGTCCTTCCCACTCTTGGTCTGATCCACCAAAGTCAGCTCGAACAAAGCCCTGACATCCGTACCCTCACTGACCAGAGCAATGAAAACGGAGACGTACGTGGAACTATCCTCAGGATTTTTGCCGTCGGGGTAGAAGTAAATTGCCCAATCGTAGCCACCCACCGTAAACGTATCGCTCATTATGTACTTTCCGGCACCCATCCCTTTGGCCAAAGAATACCCCTTTATCGTGAACCGGTGAGACCCATTGACAGTCTCGCTGATCGATCTCGAACACGACTCCTGGTCGACCCCAGGCTTCGAATTCGACATGGCTTCACCCAATTGAGCCCCTCTGGACGATTTGTGATTCGGCATCGGACAGTTCAGGCGGAACCCTAAAAAGCCAAGCGGTCGAGGCGTGGCCGCGGCATGGCATGCAAATTGTGCAGATTGGTAGGATAAATGGACGAATTAAAACCCTAATTTTGGGTTTTGAGTGGTGAAATGTAAGGAGAGATGATACTTTTGCCGGAGAGATGAAGATTCGAGAAGACTGTGAGGGGAGGCCGGAGAGGGTTTGTGGTGTTTTTTTGGGGTTACGACTCGTCAAGAGTTAGGCGGGGCCTTTCGCTTTTGACGGGCCAAGTGGGTTGGGACTCAATTTTATAGTGCTCCCATTTGGTTGACGTGTCCGTCTGGCTTCTGTTTGGATTTTCAACTTCATGACATGGAAAATAAATAGTTTTGAGGACTCTTATATAAAAATGTAAAAAAAATTTACACCCACAAAATATCATTGAACCTCACCCTTTACTCTCACTTTACCCCTTCATCCAACTTACTCACTCCTACCTCACTCATTTTTCTGTAATCCTAATCCATATATGACATAAATATACTTAAATTTACTGGGATAAGTACAATGTAGGAATAACTTGTCGTCTCTAATAACTTTAATGAAGAAAAAGTAAGATTTTGGACAAAAAATTTCGATTTTAACACTAACAATTTATTGATTTGAGGCACGTGAGTCGCACAACTCATAAAGTTGCGATTATAAAAAATTACACACCGATTCACAAATAATTCATAAATTTGTGATTATTTAAAAAAATGCACATGGTCAATACCAACCCTTTTTTATGCCAAAAACCAAAATAAAATGGTCCAAAAACTTACAAAGTCATCATAGATGAAGATTAGCTCGTCATTTATCATCTTCTTCTAAAGTTCAATGTAGATAATAGGAAGAAAAATAGGAGTGTCCAAAGAAAAATAGTTTGAGTAAGCCAAAAAATTAGAGACATCTTTGGAAGATTATTAATTTATTTTGGGTGTTCAAAGAATGTAAGAAATATAAGTAGGTGTCTAAATAAACAAGAGTGTCGAGAGACAAAAATGAGGTGTAAACATAATTTATCTTTTATTAATTTGGTTAGCAACATAATTACATGAAATTAGGCCCAAGTCTCTTCATCCGCGTGTATTATAGACAAAAATCATCCCACAAACCAACACACATTTTACAAATACATAAATTACGAAGATTTAGAATGTCAAAGGCTGAATTATTGCAGAGTTTAATTCGACAACATACATTGATGTGACTCGCAAGTATGCTTTATTATTATACAAATTTATAAATAAACCCAATCCTAGACATGTATTTATAAAAAAACCCAAGCACTATTTAAACATAGAAACACACCCAAAATCAACCCCAAAGTCAACTTTTTGGGTGTGTTTATAAATGGGTTTTGAGTGTGTGTAATGATGGGTTTTGGGTGTGTTTATATGTTTAAATAGTGCTTGGGTTTTTTTATAATTTCAGACTCCATTTTGGGTGTTTTAGTGAAACTCCCTTATTATTAATATAAGAAAATTGCGAAGGATCCACTAGTGTAGTGGTTTGGAGTATTTATTTCCTCGGACAAGATTCTAGGTTCAGAGTCCTAACATTCGTGTAGTGTGTGTGAGTTTAGTATACTATCGCCTCTCTCAATAGAAAATATCTTTTATATATATATATATATAAGAAAATTAAGAACACTCTTGGAATTAATAAAATTAAAAATGGAACTATGAAGGGCCAGTTCACCATAATTTTTCAAACTGATTATATTTTTGTGTGAAAAAAGGAAGAAAATCAAATCAAATAGTGTAAATTGGTGTGGATTATTTGTTTTAAATTTAAAATTATATGAACATATATGCAAAATTATATAAAAGGAAAATAAAAATAAATATGTTTTATATTTTGGATTTTTAGCGCAACATTACATGGAAAATTAGCGCCAACGTGTAACCATCTCTCACTCCCTCCACTAAATATTTTAATATTCAATCCGTCGGTGACCTTGACATTAGCAAGCAGTCAGTCGTCTCTCTCTCGTGGTTATCTCTCTCTCCGCAACAACACTCAATCTCAGATCCTCTCACTCTCTCAATCTCCGGCGCCCCCCATTCCGGTCCCTTCTCAACCCATCAAAACGCAGCGTTTCGTTCTTCATTTCCAGTTTCGTTGAATTAAAGCATGACAATCTTAAACAATGGCGATTGGTTGAGAATCCCACTGATCCTGAAAGTCTTTGGCTTTGCTATGGTCTCAATCACCTTCTTCTACCTCGGCAAGCACTGGTCCGATGGGTCCCAGCAGCTCCTCTTCTTCACCACAACGCGTCGAGCCCCTTCCACCGTCTCCCTCTCACCCAATCAAAACAAGCCTTTCAATCTCTCCTCCCTCATCCCCCAAGGCCCGCCTCCATCGCCTCCTCCTCCTTCCCCGCCTCCGCCGCCGCCGCCCGATGTGATCCAGAGATTCGGAATCGTCGACGAGAATGGCACCATGTCTGACGAGTTCGAGGTCGGGGATTTCGATCCCGATGAGGTGGTGGAGAATTGGGGGAGTGGGAACGGGTCGGTGGCTGAGAGCGAAGGGAGTGGCACCGGTAAGATTAGTGTTAAGAGGTTCGAGCTCTGCCCGAAGAGTATGAGCGAGTACATACCGTGTTTGGATAATGTGGACGCCATTAAGAGGCTCAAATCGACTAAGAATGGCGAGAGATTCGAGCGGCATTGTCCAGAGCCCGCTCGGGGCTTGAATTGCTTGGTTCCGCCGCCCAAGAATTACAAGAGCCCAATTCCATGGCCTAAAAGCCGCGACGAGGTATTTGCTTCATTTATGAAGTTATTAGCTTTTTCTACCTGTGTTTACTTGTATTATTAAAGCGTTTATCTTTCGGACTTTGTTAATGAAATTGGCTTGCAGGTTTGGTTCAACAATGTACCTCATACTCGTCTAGTCGAAGATAAAGGGGGTCAGAACTGGATTACACGACAGAAGAACAAGTTTAAGTTTCCTGGAGGTGGTACACAGTTTATACATGGAGCAAATGAATACTTGGATCATATTTCTAAGGTTAAAGTGGTTTACAATTTAATGTAATGGGAAATGTGAAGTGGGTAGTTTGAGTATTTGGGTTATTGCTGTATCTTGTTTCTCTGATCATCTGATGGTCAAAGCCTTAATCGCGCAGGTGGTCCCTGACATCACCTTTGGTCAACATATCCGAGTTGTTTTGGATGTTGGATGTGGTGTTGCAAGTTTTGGTGCGTATCTGCTGTCACGAAATGTAGTTACAATGTCAATTGCACCTAAAGACGTCCATGAGAACCAGATTCAATTTGCTCTTGAGCGTGGGGTTCCTGCAATGATAGCAGCATTTGCAACTCACCGTTTGTTGTACCCAAGCCAGGCATTTGACTTGATACATTGCTCACGATGCAGGATTAATTGGACTCGTGATGGTATGCAAAACTTACATTGGACTTTTTGTTCTCTAGTGATGGTTACTGTATCTTCTAATTGTAGTTTTATTTACCCTCTTTTACTTTTTTGTGTTGAAGATGGGATATTGCTGCTCGAGGTTAATAGGATGCTCAGGGCAGGTGGATACTTTGTTTGGGCAGCACAGCCAGTTTATAAGCATGAAGATGTTCTAGAGGAGCAGTGGCAAGGTATTACTGCAAAACATTCTTTTGGTGAAATTGAAAATTTGTATATTGATTGCTAGTTTTTTTTTTTTTTTTTGGTCTGAATATTGATTGCTAGTTAGTGTTTGAAAGTTCTGCAGTCGTTGGATTACCATTTTCTGACTTAAGATGAATTGAAACTTATAATTTCTTTTTGGCTGCCAATCCCAGATATTTAACTTTAATTGTTCCTTGAAGACCTATATTCACTGGCAAACCAGAAAAACAACTTATTTTGTGCTTATGAAAATTTATTGTCTGGCTTTCCTTTAGGGAGCCTGTATGACTGCATTTCCAGTTTTGAGAAAAGTGAATAATTGATAAGAGAAGTGTGAGCAACGGTGTTATAACGTCTTGTATGCTAACTTTTTATTTGCTGGCATCACTGGTTTAATGGAGCCCCCCTGCTGTCTGTCTGTGAACATGTTGGATTAGTAATCATATCTGGACCTGGGCAACAATAAAATTTGTTTTTTCATTTTTCCTTCTGCAGAAATGCTAAACCTCACCACACGCCTTTGCTGGGAGTTTGTGAAGAAGGATGGCTATATTGCAATATGGAAAAAGCCTTTAAACAACAGCTGCTATCTAAATCGGGACCCAGGAACCAAACCTCCATTGTGTGATCCAAGTGATGACCCAGACAAAGTTTGGTATATCTATGATTCTTGTCTCTCTCCCACTCCCTTCTTTGAATAATGATTTAATGATTTTATTCAAGTAAAATATTTTATTATCCAAGTCAGGTATCAAAGTTTTCGTATTCATCAAACTCGGACATTAATCAAATGCATATACCAGCTGCTTTTCATTGCAACAAGGCTATGCATGTTTTTGTTTGGAGATATTACTTTGGAATAAACCTTCAAGGAACGCTTTGAAAATGTTGGACTCTTTTTCTTTGGTTCTGACATGTGGACCATTTCTCTGAAGTTCTAATTTCACAGTTTAAGTTTATTTGTGCTGATAACTGTAACATATTATTTCACAAGAGCTTCACATGTGGATGTAGTTGATTTGCTTCTAATTCTTGTGAGGGTTTCTTCTTTGTGTGGTGGTTCAGGTATGTTGATCTGAAGGCATGCATCACAAGACTCCCTGAAAATGGTTATGGAGCAAATGTCACAAAATGGCCAGACCGTTTGCAAACTCCCCCTGATAGGCTTCAGAGCATACAATTCGATGCCTATATATCCAGAAAAGAGCTCTTCAGGGCAGAATCTAGATATTGGCATGAAATAATTGAAAGTTATGTTCGTGTTTTACATTGGAAGAAGATTAGATTAAGAAATGCAATGGACATGAGAGCTGGCTTTGGAGGGTATCATATTTATCTTGTGTTCTAGCGGCCTTCTAAATTATTTTTTTTAAACAAAGGTTTTCTCATTGCTTATTGTCTCTTAATTGGTTGGCAGATTTGCAGCTGCACTAATTGAACAAAATTTGAACTCTTGGGTTATGAATGTGGTTCCTATTAGCGGCCCGAACACCTTACCAGTTATATATGACCGTGGACTTATTGGAGTTATGCATGACTGGTACATTACCAACTGTTTTTCTTTGTCTAAACAAGGTCCATGAATTTAAAAGTTACTTATTCGAATTATATGTATCAGGTGTGAACCATTTGATACATACCCACGAACCTATGATTTATTGCATGCAGCCGGCCTCTTCTCTATTGAGAAAAAAAGGTTAGCCATCTCTGTCTCTCTCTCCCTTCTCTTTCCTATCTCTTTCC